GTGCTGAGAAGATGAGCCATGTGGTATTTGCTATATGTAAGAGAAAAAAGATTCAATGTCACATTAAGTACTCAGAAAATCTCTCTTTCCTTTCCCAGCAACATGTTCTTCCATTCCATGAAAAGCCTGTTCTGTCAAATGAGCCTTTTAACATGGTCAGAAAATCGCTGTGTTTGAACTAAGTATGGTTTGAACTGCCAATAGATCTCTCTTCACTCTCCTTAATATTCAATTTCTTCTTCTTCATCACGGTATGGTTCTTTCTGGTCATCAGAGCCAAAGAGATGCCAGAGATCTGCACTGCAATGAACAGTCAGCATCTAGGGAAACACTTTGGAGTTTCTGTATTAAATAAAAGTAGAAAAAAAAAATCAATTTGCCACTGCAGCTAGCTGACTGTGAAGGAGCAGCTGCAAACTGCTGAGTCTCATCAGGTTGTAGTCTTGATTAACATTGGGCAGATCCCCCCTGCTGCGAGAATAAATACCCTCCTTTTGTCAAGGCTCCCATGTAAGAAACAATAGGTTATTTCAGTGAAGCAAAAGAACATAAATGCTAATCGAATCATTCCTCCAAAAGAACAGAAGTAGCGCCCAGAATGTCAACATTTTAATTTTGGAAGGCAGACCTTGCCTGTGGTTGGTTAATTTTCTGTGTATTTCTTCATTTACTTTGAAAGCTGCTCCCTAACTTGGCCATCACTGTATGGAACTCAGGTTTGCAGCCCTGCAGTGCGTGTGCTTCCTGCCTTTCCCAGCCAGGCCCTACAAAGTGCGGGGAGTATCCGAACAAGTGAAATCTGCCTTAATGCCACTCAGGAGAGGTCAGAACCTTGCCCTGTGTGACTGCCAAACTATGTGATCGCATTAGTTCTTGGTAGAGGAAATGGAAAATACTTTCCAACTGGAACTGACACCAGGAAACGGCTCTTTAAAATGTTTTTTATACATTGAGATAATTACCCGTAGAAATAAATCCGTATCTCTTTACAGATGATGAAAGTGGCTTTAGGTGTTTTAACAAATTTAAGCGTGTACAAACAAAACAGAAAGGATAGACATTTTTCCCCTTACTGCTTCTTTATTTGCTGTACTAATAAGGGATTTCAGTACACAGTTGAGCAGCATATATTTCAAAGCAAGCACGTAGCAACCTCCAGTGTGATGCTCAGCCATCCTCTGGCTTCATGCGGTCACTGTTGTTGATCAACACATCGTAAAAATATCTCTGGGCTTTCAGCTGTGCCACGTGTCTGGTCAGATCCTGGTGACTTCATTCCTGTGGGGTGTCCCTTTGCCCGCAAAAGGAACAGCAGCAGAGCCAGGGGAGTTCAGCTCATTGCTTCTATTGTACTCATGAAGTCCTTAGAGATCCTGTGCTAGTGGTTGATTAGGACTCTGTAGCTCTCTGCAAACAATAAGCATGGAAAATAGTTTTCTTACAGAATTTCCTAGTTCTTCACTGAGGCAGCAAAGCTGCTGTTTATACATGCACCCTTTTTTAGTAGCCATGATGCACTTCTCCACTGGAGGAATCTGTCTCTTGAGTTTCTGCACAGCACATATAGTGTCCCATCAGTAATTCTGGGGTATTTGTCATCAGTTACAAAATTAGTGGAGATTATGGATGTGATTGTGGTGGAGGCATAGAAGTTTGGTGGTTGTGGTAGGGTTCCATAGGCTTTCCTCTCTGTCAGGATCACTGAATTTCCCTAGTTGTTGGTAGGTGCTGAAGTGGAGAACACAACAACTGCCAGCAGTGTGATTAGCCAGTACGAGTGGAGGTGTGAAGCTGAGTGTGATAATGCTAGTTTTGTGACCCACGTTCACCAGGGCATGTTGTGGTTGGGTGGGCAGGAGTTTCCTAATGCCTGGATGTACCCAGCCTGGATGAGGGAAGGCTGGAGCATTTATTGCCACTCTAGAACACACTTTCTTCTCATCTTTCATGCACCACCCATGGTGTTGGTCTACATGTCTTGACCAAAGCGGCTGCATGGGCAAGCTTAGATCCATTCATTACTTTTGATTGTCCACCTCCACATGTCATTGATCTCTTCTCCTGTGACTATAAGCTGGGGGGTTTTCAGCCAGCTCAGCAATGGGTAGTGGTTTTCTGTGCCCTCAATCTTGTAGCTGGAGCAAGCAGTCTTCATCTAAGCTCCCACCTAGTCATCAGACAACCTCTCACTACAGCCTTTATAGCATCCTGCACACAGTTTCTAGTGGTCCTGAGACCATGACCTCATCAGAGAAAATTTGAATTAAGCCTTTGTGATATTATGTCATTTTATGTGGTTGTTTTTTTTTTTTTTGATGTCATTTTATGTGTTGTTTTTTTTTTTTTGTCAGAAACAATGTTAAAATTCAGGTGACCTATTCACTTGAGGTGAGGAGCTGCAAGCTGACCAGAATTTGTTGGAGTTTGCTGAGCAGAAGTAAGGGAGCACCTTTTGTGGTGATGTGGCCAAGGTGGTTCAGTTGTGGAAAAGAACAGATGCTTCTGACCATGCTGTTCATCACACTGGGCGTGTGTGAACTCCCTTTGAAGTCACCCATTGTGTTTTTTTCCTTGCCTATATGTCATAGGTCAACTTAACTTCTGCTGCTTTATTTACAGATCCTATTTTAGTTCCCTTTTGGGGGTAAGAAGAACTATGTTGCTGAGCTGGCTGAACCAGCATTTAAATCCCGTGTGTGTGTAGCACTGTGTGACATGTGCCACTTCTCTCTTGAAGCCCAACATCGGGCGATTAGGCATTCCCCACGGGCCTTCTGGGGAGAAGGTGGCGGTGGTGACCGTGGACGACTGTGACACAGCGGTGGCCGTGCGCTTCGGGACCCTCATCGGCAACTACACCTGCGCGGCACAGGGGACGCAGACCGGCTCGAAGAAGTAAGGATCCCTGCACTGCCATTTTCCACTCATTCGCCTCTTCCACCTGGAGTTGACCACTAGGCAAATTAAGTCTGAAAAGCAGACACGATTTAACAAGAAGAAATTACAAGATATAGTTTGGTAGATGGAATTTGTTGGAGGCTACAGCAAGTGTCAAACCGGTGGGCAGAATGCACAGTTTTCTCTAGATACAGACATGTGCCCAAATTGCTTGTACGACACACCAAAAAAGAGATCTGGAGGTCAGTGTGGATAGCCCCCAAAAGCACCTACTCAGTATGAAAATGTAGAGGGAAGGGCAAAAGAAATGTTAGATTACTAATGAAGGGGATGACTTGAAGAGCTTATGACTTCCATCATTTGAGTTAAAAGTCCTGTCTTAAACAGAGCCAGACCTAGAGGAGATACAGAAAAAGCCACTGAAAATCATTAGGTATGAAAAGAACTCATCTGTGAGGAAAGACCAAAAAGTATCAGTACTTTTGAGTTTAAAGAGGAGATGTACAGCAATATAGTAGGAGTATGAGGTAAGGAGTGATAGCAGAGAGACACATGCTGCTCTAAAATCCCAAGAGAAGGGACTCACCACAAAAAATCAGGGTTAATTCTAACTGACCAGATAATATACTTTCCACACAGTGTGGATTCTTTCAGTGCAACCTGCAGCCACTAGTTTTTATTAAGACTAAGATCTTCAGAGGATTTTGAAAGGGTTGGCATAGTATAATATAATTGTCATTATATCACATTTTAAATCATATGCTGAGGAGCATAACCCAGCCCCTGGGTGACTGGAGTCAAAAACAAGTGTCCTGCAACAGCACATTTTTCCATAATTTTCGATTTGTTCTTCGTACTGGCTACTGTTAGGGGTTGGTCACTGGATTCTGCATGTCTGTGAGAGCACCTAAGTTAAAAGTTACAGTGCTTCTGCAAGGTCCTTCGATGACAAATCTGGAAGTGCTGATGTAGCAGAGGGAAGAGCATGGCAACACGGGTGAACTAAACAGCTCAAACGGGCTTTGGGAAGCAGTAAGATAAAGAACAAAACAATCTACATGCAAAAAATGATGAGCGTTTCTTTGTTTCTTCAGATCTTTGGACCTAACTGGCCCTCTCCTTCTTGGTGGTGTCCCAAACTTGCCTGAAGATTTCCCGGTGCACAACAGGCAGTTTATTGGCTGCATGAGGAACCTCTCTATCGACAGCAAGCCCATTGACATGGCCAGTTTCATCGCCAATAATGGCACTCTGCCAGGTATGGGCCACTGCCACCTCAGAAGACAGCATGAGAAGCTCTCTGCCATAGTGTGTGTGTGACAGGGCTGAGCACACACACAAGAGGCATTTAATCCTCAGTGAATTTTTCCTCTTTTTTTTTTTTTTTTTAATATACCTTTTAAATGTTGCTTTGGGTTGAAAGGCAGTGGGATTATTTCATGAAAAAGAAAGGTTTTAATATCTTATTCAGAAATTATGTTTGTTCTGTAAATCAGATTCTGGAGTCCTCCAAATCTGAAACCTGCCTTGTGAAGCAGCCTGTTGGAGGTTCTGATTTGATGAGGACAGGCTGAGAGAGTTGGGGTTGTTCAGGCTGGAGAAGAGAAGGCTCTTGGGAGACCTCATAGCAGCCTTCCAGTGACTAAAGGAGCACCTACAGTAAAGATAGGGAGGGACTTTTACAGGGGCATGTAGTGATAGGACAAGGGGTAATGGTTTTAAACTGGAAGAGGGTAGATTTAGATTGATGTAAGGAAGAAATGTTGTTCTCATCATCATAAAAGTGACTCTTACATGCCAGAATGGCAAGTCCTCTCCACACCGCTGAAGGTCTGTGTAAGAGCTAAATTGCAGTTCTGAGGTATGTTGCATTGATCATGGTTTAAGAAGGGAGTATGCTTCAAAATGCTATTTTGTCTTTGAGCCCATTTTTAGCAGTTATGTCTCTCATGTTATTTAAACACAAGTTTTTATCTTATGGAAATATATATCAGGAGGCCATGAAGTGTTTTCTGTAGGATGGTTATTTTTTTTTCCACATTTGGAAACTTTTCCATATATTTTAAAACAATGACACGTAGTAGTGTTATTCCCCAGCAGAGCACTGCGCGTTGGTCAGCGTCTCGGTTAGATGACAGTAAATGCCAGCAGTGTCACTAAGCCACAGCACCAGTCCATCTGCCTGTCTCCAGCAGTGGGTGGTGAGGGAAGAATATAAAAGCAGGACAATCATGCAGTGGCATTTCCCAAAACTTTTCTCTTAGCCCCCAGAGATTTACAGCTCAGTGTCTGTATTTAATAGCCTTTGATAAATTTGTCTTTATGAATTTGACACTTGTTGAGCTCACCTAAACTTTTGCCATCCACATTTTGCTTCACTGACTTCAAGGATATTTAAAAAAAACAAACAAACCCAAACCTGTAATGGTCATGTCTTCTGTTTACGTAAAAACTCAGATGCCATCGTTCAGAGCCTTTTTCTTGTTCAAACCACGCAGAGGAACTGTTGTCTTAAATTTCAGGCTGCGCTGCACAGAGGAACTACTGCGAAACCAACTGGTGCCAGAACGGGGGCACGTGTGTCAACAAGTGGAACACGTACACCTGCGAGTGCCCCGCGCGCTACGGCGGCAAGAACTGCGAGCAAGGTAGGGCCCAGAGGCCTGGCCAGGCCCAGAGCCCTCACCGCGCACGGGCCGCCCCCCGGCACCAGCCGCCGTGGTGGCTGTGCCAAACCCTGGGGCTTCAGGGACAGCGGGCAGAAGTTGGCAGTCAAGAGTCACCCGTTACTTATTTGAAATCATTTTGGAGATTGCCTGTACAGTAAATATGATAGCTGACATACTGCCATGAATAGCAGCTGCTTTCGTTGATTTACTTATGCTAGCAAAGTAGTTCCACAGAACTTGGCGGTTTTTGGTGATTTGTTTATAGTGAAAGTGCCTGGTCCTGAGCCCTTTTAAATCAGTGGAATGCATCCTGCTGACTTTATTGGGCTTTGACTCAAATCAGGGATGAATGTGCAGTTTTAATCACCGCTGTCTTGGCAAGAAGGCACTCTCTGCTGAGTACCAGCACTTTCACTTTTATTGGGTCTTTCTTTGATTTAACACAATGTGTGTATGTGTTAAAACCTCATTAATAAAGGGTGAGGAAGGAGCAGCAGGTGTGTTTTATAAGTCGTGAAGAACTTGCAGTTAGTCTCTTCCCAAGGAATCGAGGAGTTGTCTGAGGGGTCCCATGGGCTTGCTGCAGTAGCAGGCTGCCCGCTGTAAGTTGGCACCTCCACATCTAGTGGAGGATTACTCATCTAGAGGCTTCCTGGAGACTTCCAGGAAAGAAAACCTGCTTAAACTAGTCAGGGCTTTCCTAGAAACAGGCCGTATTCTGTTCTCTGATGCACATGTGGTAAGTCTCTGTTTCTCTTATTTACACATGACACTTAGCCCACAGTAGTTTGCAGTGTGGTCAAGGATTTTGTTCTCCTGATGTATCTACCCCAAACAACACATTCTTGATTACTCTCGGCCGGGCATGGACTCTAGAATAGTAGGTCTCCAGGCTTAGGTGCATATTCCACAGGGATTTGCACATCACTTTAGAGCAGTATGCCTTAGCCTGGGCTAGATCTAGGTGGTGGCAAGTGCTCTCCCCATGCCTGAGAAGCAGCAGCTTAGGAGGAGAGGACACATAGTTAAGTTTCTGGCTTACAAATAAGGGTCTGCAGAGTGAGGGCCAGAGGAAAGGAACGGTGGAGGCCTTTTTCAATGTTCTACTTCACACAGAGCCCAGAGCTGTTATTACTGCCCCGGGTGAGGTATCTGCTTTCTATAGCAGTTCCTCAAATATTTTGAGCTCCCCCGGTTTCTTTGGAGATCTCATTTTCCCATGTGTCTCCTGTCAAGAATCTTTGTCACTGAAGTTCTTGTGTTTTCTTCATGATAGGGTGGTCTCTGTAGTACAAGCCCACGCTGATGTCTCCTGAGTGCCAAGGCCCAACTCTGGTGTGACCTGTACTGGGGTAAATGGGGAGCAGTGCTATCACGTGCAAAGACTATCCTTCTGTTTATCTTAGTTCTGAAATGGAATTTCAGAATTCAATCAAATGTGTGTTTTATTCACCATTTTCTTATCCCAAACTCAAGTCCAAAACATGAAGTTTGGGATTTAGAACATCACCTCTGAACTACTGTGTAGCCATCACTGGAAACGCTTTTTAAGTTCAGGTAGTGCAGATGATGACAATGATGGTGTCACTATCTCCTCTGCCTCCAGTGCTGTGCATTC